CAACCATCTCCAACTTTTTCCAATTGAGATTATTCTTTTTTCGACTACAACATTTCATATACACAACCTTTTAGCAAAAAAACTGATTGATTGTTACTGTGTAGAACTAATTACAAACGTATATCAACTAACAATTTTTTTATGTACAAATCATAAATTATATCATTCAATGGTCTAAATTTAGTGAAAAATGTAATGAAGTATTCAATGTAAGGAAATGTGGAAGATATAATTGTTCAAGAGAAAGTTGTGTATTTTACTATAAATGGATTCTTTTTCTATAAATATAGAAAGAATAGTTTTTGTAGTAGAATAGATGTGTACATCTTTACTAGTCATGTATATTAAACTTTGTGTTTGTTCGTTCTTTTGTATAATAGGCGTAATTTCTCATTAAAAACTAAGTGCGTGTGAGAGATGATTAAACGATGTTTTAAGAAATGAGAGGCAAAAGTGAAAGGAAACTAAAGAGAAAGGAGGAAATTAAAAAGAAGAAGAAGGGAAAAAGGGGCCCAATGAAGAAACAACAGCTCAGGAAGCAAAACTTTAGCTGGCAAGCTATGGTTAGTTTTTATTACTTTTTTTTGGTGTAAATTATTAATACTATTATTCTGTTTGTTTGACAGTTTTTTTTGTTGGTAACTTTTATGGGTGGTCTTTAAATTTTTTTTTTAACCAACCTATTTTTATTTTTATCAATAAAATTACTTCATTCATTTAACCGATCAAAGTACAAAGAGAGGGAATTAAGCATACTCTAGCATTACTAAAACATAATTGAAATGCAATAAAATTTAGAACATATAGATCATCGTAGAAGATGCAAGACAGCGGATCCAATGTATGCTTCGGATGCGTCCAGAAGGACTTCGCAGCAAGATCGGAGAGTCTCAGGGTAGTCACGTTTGAATGTAACTTTGAAGGTCCCGGCAAAAAGCTCGGGAGTTCGACCACTCTCAAAGAGCGGGAAGAACCACTCTTAAAGAGATGGTAAGATGTGAAACTAATCTCTTCCACCGGGAGTAACTTGCATGATTTGAGAATTCAGAAAACTTTAAAGCTGGGCAAAAATAATAGAGAACCATCTCCAACTTGGGCCTCAGCAGATTGGGCTTAGACAAACCCCTTAGAACCTCACAAATATCCAGAATCAGTCTCAGCCCATTATACATAATGATTGGCCTGATTCGGATTCGGCCCATTAAGAGCCAAAAGCCCATCAACAAACAAATCTAGTTAACGGAAGTGTTGTTGTTGACCACGAATTTTTGCAGTGAGTCCTTGCCGGCGATTATAGTTCCGGCGGCCGCCAAAGGAGATCGGTGGTGACCAACAGGTCGGGTTAGGGTGTAGATGTTGCAGAATCCGACAAATGAGGTGGTGAGCCGTTGAATCCAGGCCGAGCTCCAACCCGATCTGGTGCCGTTCAGATTCGGGAGAGATTCCGGTGAGAGCCGACGGTGATACAGCTGGAAGGTGAGATTGCGAGGAGGAGGCGGCGCTTCTGCGCCACAATATCTCGTCGTCGATAAAGTGGGAATTGGATCCATGGACAATGATGGAGGCTCAGTAACGGTGAGGGTGAAGCGAGAGGGGTGATGATAGCAGAGGATCGGAGGAGAGCCATGGCCGCGCTCCGGAGCTACGGTCCCGGTAAGGGATTCGCCGGCGGGGACGGGTTGGGGCCTGGGCAGGGATTGGGTCTCGCCGTCGAAGGAGCAGAAGATGAAGCCAACGACTTGTGAATTGGCGAGGTGAGCAAGGGGGAGACATCGACAATGCGGCCACATTAGCAGAGAAGAGGAATCTGGGCCACACCACGGAGGGTTCGGCGGGTCCAGAAGCTCAGGCGGTGGCGGGGACTTGGCCATCGACGAGACTTGCTTCATCCGAAAGTCGTGGGCTTCACTCCGATCAACCCGCAGGTGACCGCCCAAGGAGAAGGAGAGTGCTCGGACCGTAAGGTGAAACGTCATCTCGCAATCGCACACTGCCGAAGAAGCCTTATGTCCTTAGGGAAGAGGCTCAGGCACGACGGCGAGCTTCCATGGCTCGGTTGAAGGTTGAGTGCCTCGAGTCCCGTGCCAGAGAGAACTATTCCGTACTGTTCGCCCTTTACCAAAACTAATTCCAATGTAATAATTATATAACCAACCTATTTCTTTCTTTTACTATTTTTTAACCTTAGAATCTCCATTTCCATAGAATACGGTCAAAATAGTTTAGAGTAACAACATCAAAATGTATTAATTTTTAAGAATTTTTGAACTAATACTTTTGAGTCTTTGATAATTTTCAAGAAAAATTTTTGAACTAATACATTTGAGTCTTTGATAATTTTCAAGAAAACTAACATTTTTGAATTTTGGCTTCTTTAGAGACTCATTTATCTTACCAAGTAGTTAAAATAATTTAGATTCTAATTTAAACACATTTCATCATTAAAACGAACTAGTTTTAAGAATTTGTGGACTACAACATTTGAGTGTTGATCATTTTCAAAAAAAACTAACATTTTTGAATTTTGGATTTTTAGAGACTCTTTTACCTTACCAAATTGTTTAAATAGTTTAGATTCCAATTTGAACACATTTTATCTATTTCCGCTAACAATATCAAAACGTACTAGTTTTTAAGTTCGTGGACTAACATCTTTAAGTTTTAGATAATTTTCAAAAAAATTAACATATTTAAAGTTGACAAAAAAAAAGAGAAACATCTGGATATTGAAAGGTTATTGGAAGAGTTTGCAAACATATTTGAAGCACCAATAGGGTTACCACCACTTAGACCATACAAATCCAAGAACAAGTTCTCCTCTAATGAATTGAAATGCGCGTTCTCTTAGAAATTTATTCACCGGCAGTCTTCGCCATGTTCGCCTTGCCGCCTCACTTGAACCAAATTCATATAGTTAGTGGATGTCACCACACAAAGCACGTTTATGACTACACCAAACTACAAAAGAGATGTACAAAAGATATATTATAATCTTTGAGAGAAACCACTTTAATTTACGTATTCCAAAAGAGTCACTTACCATATACGATGCGGCTTGCAACGTAAAATGATTACCCCACTCTATATCTCTTGCCATCGCATCACAATATTGTATGTAATCCGTTGTAACAACTTCCTCGTACGAAGCTTGGTTTTCTCTCAGCTGCAATGAAACAACAAACAAATAATTGGAAACCAAAAATAATTTAAACGAACATGGCTCAAACTTATAACACATTCGCATGTGTAACAACCTGTTCCCTAACATCCATGTGGAGCTCCGAAGATCCGAGCTGGTGAGCAGTTGCTCGAAATTGGCAATTTTCATCGCCTACAACCTCAACCTCATGCCTGTTATACTCAGTTAGTCTTTGAAGAAACCGTTGTCGGACATTCGAAGATGGCATCATTTTATCTCTCCGCAGAATTGTGTCTCTCAGAATATTTTTTTTCAGGTGCTTCATAAATCTTTTGAAACTCGGTAGCATTGTATTTCAACTTATCAGCATGAGAGGCTAAAAAGGAATCCCAATCCCATATCTTTCTTGAAAACTTGCTAATTTTTTTTTAAGTACCATTGACACTATCCGAGTCCCAAAAAGCTAGAAGAATTTTATGACGAGCTTTTCTCAACTCGAAGAGAACATCCTTGAACATGTTGTCTCCCGTTACCAGCATCGTGTATTGAGGTTTACGAGACGTTTTAAGCCACTTACTTATAATAATTTTGATAAGTATATCAGCAGCTTGATTCGTTTTTAGAGTATTTTTTGGTCCTGCACCAACAAAA